ATATATATATATATATATATATATGTATAGTTTAATTAAAAGTTTTAACAGAAAAAAATTACATTTACATCCTAAATGCATTACTTTAGTTTGGTGATAAATTGTTACACAGAAATATTTTGTTTCCTTCATTTATCTGTATTTCATATAAATGACCAAAAGCCTAGACTTTCTGGCTCTTGGTGTATATTCATGAACTGATATTAACATGCAAATGATTCTTTTTCACATAAGAGATGAAGTGCATCTTTACTTAATTCTGAACTTGAAAAAAATTGATTGAAATAATTAACAAGCAATTGAGCAGTCAAATAATACATATATAACTACATAACTGTTAGTTTTGTAGCACTTTACCCAAACAAAATTTAAAATCTTAAATCATTTCTCTCTTTTATATGTTTCATATTCACCTTAAAAGAAAAAAACAGTATTTGGATACTTTATATTTAGCATTGTGACAAGTTATAATACCTTTATACAAATTTTAGTTTTCCACTAATGTATAGCTATAAAGGTTACAAGTACAATAGCTTTATTTTTCAAACATTCTCAATTGTATAAGAACTAGCAAAATGCTTACTGTTACTAGTTATAATGAGACTTACATACAGTAATAAAAAAGTGAACTTATTGAATCAAATAGACACACCAATCCAGTGTAATACATATACATAGGTCATGACTTTGCTGATTAGTTGAAGGTTGTCTAGACACATAACACTTATTTAGTAGTCACTGCACATGAATTGAACAATGGGAATATTTTTGTAAGTGAAGAATTGCTCAGAGCTGATGTGGCTGTGTTCATCTGTTAAATCAAGTGATGCCATATTCCCTAAAGTAGAGTACTTTTGATCTTCCCTCAACTATCTTACATCCTTCTCGGTAAATCACTTTCTGTATGAATAGATATAATTCTAAATACCGTGTGCTTGTCAGATCCACGAAGTGACTTGGAGAAGGCCTTATTTTCAAAATTATCTTGTCAATTTCATTGTGACAGCAGCAGAGGCAGGTAGCAGCAGTTTTCTTCTGATTATGTTAAAATCTCATCTATTATTTAGTTCAAAGCTGACAGCATATATTAAGGCTTAATGAAGGCTTTCCGTAATTTCAGACTAAATTTATCTTGCCCGATTTTATATGTTTTTTTGTCATTTGAGGGTTACAATTTCATCAAAGGTTATTCCCAGAAGGAGTTTTTCCGAATTATTCCAATATTAAATAAGCAGAGTATGATTTGGGGTTGGAAATACACCTTGTGAAACTACTGTTAGCATAAGGGGAAATACAGCACAGGTATTACAAAACATTTTGGAGAGGTTGCTAGTACACGTATGGGTTAGTTCTCATTTTGGTCAACAATCCATATCTAGTAGTCATCAAATGTGACTTGCCTGCTACAGACCTTGATTCGTAGAATATAATTAGCTTTCATCATAGCCCCTTGCCCTCACTTACACAGACAAATGAGAGAAATCAAATATTTAGGTAATGACACATGTAGGAGATAAAACACATTTTCTAATCAAATGTAAAGAATATTTATTATTATTATTATTATTATTAAATGGAACATTTGTAACTTTTTTAGAAATCCTTTTCAAACAATTTTTCTTTGTTGGATTTTAAACTTTGATAGAGAATGTTTTCAGACACTCGTGTAAAATGTGAAATTCAAGAGCTCAGGGGGAAAACCCAGAGAAATTGCTTTTACTTTCCTCTCACTTTCTCTCTTGGAATGAACTTAACTTTGATCCAGCAGAGAATTGGCCTCCCATAGCCAGCACTGTGAACAACTGCCAGTTTTAGTGCTTTTCTAGAATTCACTAAATGTTATGTGGAAAACAATGTCACAGTACATATGTTGAGGTGAAAGTTTCTCCCGGACTGGTGAGCCACAGAAGTCCTTACTAACACCCTCTGTTGGCAGGAAGATATGGAGTCTCATTTGTATGGAGCATTGTGCAACCTAAAATTAGTGAGATTCAAAATCCCTGAACTCCATGACAAATGATGGAGGATTTGAATATTTATAACTGACTGGCTAGTGATGCAATTTATCATGTAGTATGTCATGTCTATAAAATTATTAGCAAAATAAGCTTAAGAGTTTCCCACTCTAATATTTTGTATTCATTAAAAATTTTACATCAAATCATCAACTAGTTGAAATATTTGAAAATATTTTAGAAATGTTGCTGAGTGATTGCTGGAAATATGTCACAATAAATGATCCCCCAACAGGGAAAGTTTAAGCTGATATTTGATAACTTAAGAAAAAGCTAATTTGTATATTATAATTTTATTTTAGACTCACAATGCATAGAAAATGTGACCCACATCAAAGAAAAATGATAGATACATTAGGAAAGTCAAACAGGTAATAGTATCACACAACATGAGAAATATAGCTGTATTTGTTTTGGAACAGTGTATGAAAACTTCAAGAAGTATTGATTGTTTTAGGAAAATCATAGTTATTAGTGCAAGAATATTTATCTCAAATAATATTTATACTAAAAGGAATAAAAAATAATAACTTCACATGCATGTACTTTTATTTTGAACAGTAACTTAGTTCGTATTTTGAAAGAACTAACCCTATATATAAATATGTATCAACGTTTAAATGAGGAAGTAGCAGTCACAGAGTAAAACATAAACCAGGTAAAGTTGACACAAGGCAGATGCACGAACAGATTGTTGCCATTTATGATGGCTAGTGCTCATGCAGTGACCTGTTGCCAAGATCTGGAGATATACAGATTCTACCTCATATGTATTCCACTCATGAGTGAAGGAGATGGTGTTGGTTTATGTGTATACCAACACATCAAGCTGTCATATAGAAACAACTTCTAAGCATACCTAAAATTTAAAATCAAATAATATAGGTGAATAAAGCTAAATTTATTTAAGCATACACACACACACACACACACACACACACACACATATTGTTTGAATCTTAGATGGCCTTTTAATAAAAAAAAAAACAAAAACACAGAATCAGATATCGGGGTGAAAGCTGAAAGATCTGAGAAGCAGAAAAGCCAGCCACTAGTTCTTACCTCTACAAAATCCTCAGCCTAAAGAGAGTGAGTTCCTGTTTCCTCACACCTTATATAACTTTATCTGCCCAGACATCACTTCCTGGTATTAAAATCATGTGTGCTTGAAAGTACTGGGATTAAAGGCATGTGCCGCCACTGCCTGGCTCTGTATTCAGTGTGGCCTTAACTCACAGAAATCCAGATGAATCTCTGCCTCCAGAGTGATAGGATTAAGGGTTTGTACCACCACTGCCTGGCCTCTATGTCTAATCTAGTGGCTGGCTATGTCCTCTGATCCTCAGGCAAGTTTGTTAGAGTATATAATATACCCCCCCCCACACACAATATATATATATATATATATATATATATATATATATATATATATATATATATATATTTATGTATGTATATCTCTAGCTGTAGGTTTACTCAGGTCTTACCCACTCAGCAGTCAGTGGTCACTTATAAAATAATCATTCATGCCTTAATATTAATTATCAACTGTGTGGCCTATGGGTCATGCTTCTTACTAGCTATCTCTTATAACTTAACTAATTTCTATTCATCTATAAATTGCCACGTGGCTGTGGCTTACTGATACTTTCACATCTTGCTTCTCCTGGTGGTACTGGCATCTCCCCTGACTCTGCCTCCCTCATTCCTTTCTCTCTCCTTGGATTTCCTGCCTGCCTCTAAGCTGCCATGCCATAGGACAAAGCAGCTTATTTATTATCCAATGGGAACAACACATAATCAGAAAAACATCCCCCAGCATTTACCCTTTTCTATCTAATCAAAAAGGAAGGTTTTAGCTTTAATTTAGTAAACTTATATATAACAAACAGTTATCAAGCAAGAATTACAGATCCAATATCTAGTCTATTTGTATTTGGTAAAATTAAAGAAAATATTCTATCTATCCTGTATTTGTGAGTCTAAGGTTTAATATCTAATTTATCTTTTATCATGACTAAGCAAAACTATAATTATAACTATCTAGTCTTCAACTACATCAAAGACCCCAGAAGGATATATTACCTAAGTAAACAGGAAGTGCATTGTATGTAACTTCCAAAAATCTAGCATGACAGAGACAGTTGGCTGCCTGCACAATCACCCACAGTTCCTCTGTAATAGTAGAACATCCATTTTTAAACTATAGGTCTAATCTCTCAGTCATTTTTCCCTGTGTCCTGTAGAATGTCTGGCAGTCTCCTCTGTGAAGCAGGAATCTGAAGAACCATCTTGTTTTGTAAATTTCAGTGGTCACCTTCCTATGGGTCCTGCATGGCCAGTCAATACAACATACTGTCAATCAGTAGACACAAGGGCAACTTTTTGCCCAGTGGCTAACTTGCCACAAAGAAAGCAAACTTCATAATGAGTTTCTTCAGTGACCATCATTCTTCTTGAAGTAATTGGTGCTGCCAGGAGCAGACGTATCTCATTGTCTAGAAAAGTCTAATTTTTTAAAACATACTAAATGCCATATTCTGTAGATCTTTGCAGTGTTTAAAGATTAACTACCTAATTGAAATATATCTATGTATACATAGAAAACTTAACTAGCATGACTATAAGTTTGATTATCATGGATGACTAATTATTAATCTATATTTCTTAATTACACATTACATTTTCAAATGAGCTGCAGAAACATAATACCTTAAACAACAGTAGAAATATACATACAGTAAAACAAAATTAACTTTAAATTTGTATCAATCAACTAAAATCCAAAGCAATGTAAACATTTTAAACAAGTTGTGGCTCTTTAAAAGTAGATTCAATAATCTACCCTTTTATCCTATCATATCTATACTATCCCCTTTTCTTCTTTACAAAGATATTGCATTTATAATCAACCCCCTTTAAATAAAAATAAACATTTATAAACAATATTTTGGGAATTCGGGCATAGCTTCTCATACCACTTCCTGCTGATTGTGGGTGCTGGTAATCTTATGGGAATCCTGAGAAAATTAAGAATTATAGTTAAATCTTGGCTGTAGTCGTCTGTGAGGATGGGTTGTTTCAGCCAGTTGCTTTGAAACTGATTTTGGATGTTGTGTCATCGGAGCCATGGTGTCATTGAAGACCTTACAGGTGGTTTTGGCTGATCAAACCATATTAGCCAGGAAGTAATCTGCGGGTTCTCATCTTCTGTGGAAACAAAAGCAAAACCTCTTTTCTAAAGCAATTTATCCTTAGACACAAATTCTGAAGTCAAGATACCTTAAAATATACATATTGATTTAACTGAGTAGCCTTTACAATCAAATGTCTCTTTCCAGATAAAATTTCCCAAAGACAATATAATAACCTGTAATACCCATATTCTTTCTATAATTTTCATCTTTACGTGGCTTACCTTTTATATTATTCTTATTGTCTCTTTAAGGACAATAAGAATAGTAATTTGTCTACATATATCCATGTCCCAATATGTTACTAGTTAAAAATCCATTGTGGATGTATCAGTTCACTCAATTTCTAAACCCTGAAACATGGCACCTTAGTCATACCCCCATAGAAGAGGATAAAAATATATTTAAAAAAATACCTACTAAAACGGAATTGAATAGATTGGTAAACACAATATGATTGGGATAGTCAACAATGGTTATTTTGACACTGTGGGTACTAAGAACTACTTCATCCACAAGTTTGGATGACGCAGCAGTCCTGCTATGTTGCAGACTGGATGAAGGATTGCATAGGGTTATGGTTCTCCTTTATGATGCTGGGTTGTAATGTCAGTAAAACTTAGCAGCAGCAGCAGTAGAGATGACAGAGGCAGCAACAAGCGAGATGCATTTACCAGTCAAAGGTAGAGGCAGACAGACAGAAAGCAAAACCTTCCCTTGAGACCTCCTAACATCTGTTCCTCTGTTGAAGGCATGTTTATGGAGGGTGTCTTTTGCTTCTGTTTATCTTTCAGGGGAAAACATTTCAGACCCACCAAGAGGTATGTCTCTTTGCCAATCAAGTTTAGCCACCATCCATAGCATACCTAAGTCATATTAAAGTCAGAGATCTCCAATACATGTCTATTCAAAGTGGGAAGGAGTTGAGGTAATGAGGAAGTTGCTTAACAGTATAAACACACGAAGAGAGAAGCAGAAAAATAAGTCCTTTGAGGTTAGCCTGTCATGCAAAAACAGCTTTATGCATACCTACAATTTAAAGTCAAAATATATAGGTGAATAAAGCTAGATTTATTTAAGCATTACCAAATATGATGCATGGGTAATCTCTTGGGTTGTGCGTCAGTCTAGGGGTTTTATAATGAAGACCAAGGGTAACGAATATAGCTCCAGGAATATAACCACCCAAAATCTCAGATGAGCTCTGATTCAGAGAAAGGTTGAAGCTCTCAATGAGATAGAAATCATGATTCTTTACAACATTAGAAATTAGAAATTAAAGAGAAACATCTAGACCCACCAGAGAAGCTGCACATCTGACTTTACAGGAATTGCAATAGCACAAAACCTATGTAAGCCTAATCTAGACAGAATCCCAGGATGGAGAGGAAAATTGGACATACAATCCGGTTCCTAATGGCTGTGGATCTAATGGCAACTGTTAGCTGCTAGAAAGGGGGAGACAGTTTTCTCCAAGAGTGTAGTCCTTGATAGGTTGGTCACACTCCAGTGGATGGTCACACATTGAAGAATATTTCGACCAAACAAGTTGTTCTTAAAATGTTAAAATATAAAGGAACAACATTATATGAATAGGGGTGGGTGGGTGAGTATAGGTATGGGGAAACAGAGTAGGGAGTTGAAAATGATCAAAACATTTTATAAAACTCAAAATTCTCAAAGAACTAAAACAAAACCCACTAAATCCTATACAGTCACACAATGTATAATACAGCAACATAATACATAGTTTACTGTATATTATTATAACTGCAAGAACTTATGTGGTTTACATATTTATGTAATTTAAGTATGCAGACCTGTATCTTGCATGTAAAATGGTGTTTATCAAGTATTATGAAGATAGACAGTGATAATTAGGGATGTTGAGCAATTCCTTAAATGTCTTTCAGCCATTTGAGTTTCCTCTGTTGAGAATTCTCTGTTTAGTTCTATAGCCCATTTTTTAATTGGACTGTTGGGCATTTTGATGTCTAATTTCTTGAGTTCCTTATATATTATGGATATCAGTCCTCTGTCAGATGTGGGGTTGTTGAAGACCTTTTCACATTTTTTAGGCTGTCACTTTGCCTTGTTGACAGTATCATTTGCTCTACAAAAGCTTCTCAGTTTCAAGAGGTCCCATTGATTGATTGTTTCTCTCGGTGTCTGAGCTACTGGTGTTATATTTAGGAAGTGATCTCTTATGCCAATGCGTTCAATTGTTGAGACCAAGGTTGGATAAAGCACAGGGACAAATAGCCAAATGAATGGAAACACATGAACTATGAACCAATGGCTGAGGGGCCCCCAACTGGATCAGGCCCTCTGAATGGGTGAGACAGTTGATTGGCTTGATCTGTTTGGGAGGCATCCAGGCAGTGGGACCTGGTCCTGTGCTCATTGCATGAGTTGGCTGTTTGAAACCTGGGCTTATGCAGGGTCCACTTGGCTCGGCCTGGGAGGAGGGGACTGGACCTACATGGACTGAGTATACCAGGTTGATCTCAGTCCTTGGGGGAGGCTTTGACCTGGAGGAAGTGGGAATGGGGGTGGGCTGGGGGGAAGGGGAGGGAGGCGGGAGTGCGGAGAACAAGGGAATCTGTGGCTGATATGTAGAACTGAATTGTATTGTAAAATAAAATTAAATTAAATTAAAAAAATGATAGACTGAATAGAGGTTCTACAATGTATATCTTTGTGTGTTGGGTATATGCTTTGAAGTATGTGATAATCCAGGCAAAGAAAAATTTTGGAAGATCAGGCAATATTTGGGGAACACATTAGGAATTGAACTGGACCAATCATTTCTTTATACTAAAAAGCAACTGTATTGAAATAAAGGATAGATGTAATAACATCTACTTATATTTAAACTGCCTCTGTGCTTTATTTTCAGAGAACTAATAGAAAGTCTTAATACGTTTGAATTCCCACACCTCAGAAAAATGTATATCATTATCTAACAGTGTCTTAAAATTACTCTCAAACTTGCAAGGGATACAAAACATGTATTTTAACACTCAAACAATGCGAGAAATATGTTAAATGAGAAGGTGGTAAAGTAAAAGTACATGATGATTTATCAAGAACCACTAGTCTGGAGTCAGTACTTTAAGAACAGAAATTAAACAGTAAGATGATTGGGCAAGTCCTACAACTATAAAACTTATGCCTGTTTGTTGGGATATGAGTAAACTTAATTCAATTGTAAAGGAAAACAGGAGGGTTAAGAGAAAGCATTTTGAGGGTCATTATTACAAATCAGTTCTCTATAAGATTTGAAAAGATTCATAGTCCAAAAAGTAAAACAATATGACTATGTGGTAATTTTCACATTATAGAAATAATCAAAATAGTTTTCTAATTACTTTCCAAGGAGATAATAATATTGTAGAAATTATTTTTAAAAATTATATTTTTAATGAGTATTTGTAAGTTAAAAGGCAGTTCTCAGTCATGTAATGAATGTGTTATTCAACTTGAGATGAACAAACATATAGAAAGGACATACGTGTAAGATTCAAGAAAGGGGGAGAGATGGAGGGAGAACTAAAGACACATTTCTTCATGCCATTGCATACTCATCGTTCAAAGTTAAACTCCATATCATTTCTCCTGGGAAAATTAGAATGCTTTTCCATCTTCATTACCTTTTAAAATTACCTTTAATAATATGTCTGATTATGACACTTAAATATATATGAGCTCTTATACATTTTGTTTAAATCATCCAGCTCTTGTTCTTCCATATACCTACTGGTCCCACCTGGATAGTTTTCTAACCGTCCTTCAAATGGTTGTTTATTTTTGGATGAATTAAAAAGCAAGTGTAAAACTACATGAAAACATTACAGCTACATACTGTAGAAGTCGTTTTTCATCCCACAGATTCTAACCCTTGGGGGAGTCAAATGACCCTTTCACAGGGGTTGCCTAAGAAATCAGAAAAAAACAGATATTTACATTATTATTTATAACAGTTGAAACATTACAGTTATGAAGTAACAACAAAATGATCTTATGGTTTGGGGTCACCACAGCATGAGGAACTGTATTAAAGGGTCATAACATTAGGAAGATTGAGAACCACTGTAGTAGAGTCTTATTCCGAGTGTTTATTTTATTGGATAAAATGGTTACATAATTTAGGAGACAGACAAAAGCTACTTAGAAAAGAACATCTCAAAATATAGCAGCTTAAATAATGGATTACTTCTGTCTCATACAGTGCACATAAGTAGGAGGACATCGTAGGCTATTTTATTGTTGGCCCAAATTTCTATGACTATTCAGGAATACAAGTTCATCTGTCTTGCCCCAGTGCCACATTCCATTTTACCACTTTGTTCTGCATCGTCTTATCTTGATTCATCAATTATTTCATCTTAGGAAGTGAAAACATATTGTAAAGACAAAACACTTAAGTGCCAAATTACAAACTAAGAAGCAAAATATGTTAGCTCGATTTTATTAACACAAACTTAATAAGGAACCAACTATGACAGAAGCTGGAAGCTCACATTGCTGCCGAGACTTACTAAAATGAGGGAGATAATACTTGGATGAATGAAAGCAATGGACATCCAATATCCCTAAAGAAAGGCAAAGCATGATTTCCCACTCTTCAAGTCACTGGAGTGGTTGTATTTTTAGTGACACATTTGCAAAGAATGTTTGTCTTCCTATCGAGTGATCTAAGTAAATCTGAGGTTAAAGGAAGCGTTTTTGATATCTAGTTTAATGCACATAAATTCTTGGGAAACAGACATACTCTTAGTCAAGGATGCATTGAAAAGACACAATGAAGGAAGTGTGTAGCAGAGCTGGGATATTCCAGGTATTTGCTGTTTTCTCTGGTGACATCTTCAAACTGAAGAACTTATTTTCAGTCCTACACCACAGACTTCAATTTTTACTAAGTAATTATTTTTAAAAAATGGTATCTAGTATTGATTCTCTTTTTAATTATATAATTTATTATTGTTTAATTCTTTATTAAAATATTCTCTTTTCAAATTATGACAAGGCTTTTTCTTAACTATTTTCATTTTTGTTTGGGGGAAATGCATGAAATAATTATCATACAGACAAATAGTTGTAGTCATTTATATTCATTAACATAAATGCAGAAAATATGTAATTCTATGCCTTGTTTTCATACTTTATTAAATTATTACCAGTCACTTATATAGGCCCTATAGCCTATTATGAATGGAGTAGTATTTGATTGTATCTAAGTTATATTATATCAATCTAAGTGAAAAACATTGTAAGTAAAGTTCAAAGCATATTTAAAATGTTAATTTTTTTCTTGTTTGTATAATTGGAATTGATAACATGTTATCTATTCTGAGATACATAAACTATGTTTATTGGTATTTACTGTGCTCCATTTACTCAGAAATATCTTCTTTATGCTCACTAAACCATGAAATTGAAGATGCTGTTGCTTTTCTATCTTCCTTCTCTCTCTTCTTTGCATCACTCCCTTTCCCCCGCTCTTTCTAATATATGAGAAAAATCAATCTTAAAGGAGACCAAGCATCTTGACAATATTATTGTATTAGCAAGGGCAGAATAAGTGAATGGGAGATCGAAGCCTTCTATCATAGTGTGTGGAAGCCATTTGTACAGTGATGCTAAATTTCCTTACACAAAATGATAACTATTAGATCAATTCTGTCTCTTGCTCATATATATGTAATTAATGCTGTGTATATTTCATATATTCAGAGCAGAATCATACCAATAAACAGAACAGTTAACTTGATTAACTATACGTTTATTTCATTGGATTTCTAAATTGTCAGTTACTACAATGAGTGTTACATTTTCACTGAAAATGAATATTATTCTTTAAAGCATCTGCTCTTTAAAATGGAACTTTGATGAGTGACTGTATTCATTATTTTACTAGGCACACTGAGAGATAATGAAGGAGGCAACAATCATGGCAGGAATGCATTAATATTAAATATTTACTGCATAACTCACCCTTATTGGACACAGCTGTCGATAAAATATGCCCTCACTGCTGACAAGTTGCTCCTGTGTTTGGGTTGTAGATTAGCTTGCAGGCCTGCTCTGTATTCTTTATCTTCATCACTGCACCAGTACTTTAATTAGGCAGTGCAATCTTCTGCATAGTGATTAGGAAATCACAGTTAAGAAGGTGTTACAAAGAGATTTTCTCCGCAAGCTACACAAAATGGCTCACAGGTTTGGAAATTTCTCCATGTCAAGCAGCAAGCAAGCATATTAGGATTTCCAAAGCAAGCAACAACTGACCTGGTATCCTTCAGCTTAAATTGTCTTTACACTTTTGTGAGACACTAGCTGAAACTATAAAGTCTTGAGCACTGGTTGACAAATACAGCTTCTTGATTATTTAGTCTGTAAGAAAGAAGAGGAAAGAATTTCTTTTGTTAGAGTCTCAAATGATGTTAGAGCCCAAAGTACACTAAAGTAAACACTTTTATTACTATTATAATGTAACACATTGAAAATATGATTCAGAAAATGATAAATTGATCCATTTTTGCAATTATCTTATTATGAGCATTTCAGTATTATTTTTGAAAAATAGATTATCCATGTTTTCACAATGAAAATTTTAACACACCAAAGTAAATATAATTTGATAATACTTCCAGGACTAGAGAGCTCAAGACACAGGTCACTTCTACATATAGTTTTGTCACTATAGAGAGACTATTTTTATTAATACGAAATGTAACATTCAAAATTATTACATCTACAAAAGCTGAAGTATAACAAGTATTGATTTCATGAAAGAAGAGGTTCAAGACAGGAAGCATTAATACTATTGGCAAGGAAAATTAAGATACCCTTGGCAAACTTATTAGTGTATTTGATATTTTTCATCATCTCTTTTGTGCAAGTTGTATTAGAGATGACTTTTTTCAAAGTTCACTTTCAATATTTCAAATGAAATTTCTATAGTTATTAAAAAGTGCTTTTTATATGGTGGTAAGGTATCAATGTGATCATTTCCCATTAATGAGATAATTTTATTGATATCAACACATGGAAAGTGCATCTTTTTGAAGTAACAATATATATATATATATATATATATATATGTGTGTGTGTGTGTATGAAATTTATAAACTTTAAACATATGTATGTGTTAGTTAAAACACTATATAACAAACTTTACACAGACAATGTCAAATAAGTGTATCTACATGAACATACAAGGAATTATTACAATTTAAATGCAGCTTTATTTTTATTTTTTTTCAATGTCTTCCAAGCAGACCTGTGTTGTTGGTTGAGATTGCTTTTTATTAGACCATCAGGTGTTTTGGACAGGCTCAGTAACACAGCTTTACATAATTAAACAAATGCAACACAAACAAAAATAACACATCTTAAAATAATACTACCCAACATTCCCCCCTTTTTTAAACAAAACTAAAAAGTTTTACCTTTAACATAGTAAGATTATACAGTAAGAACAATTATCAAGTAAAGATTACATTCACTGTATACTGAATTCCAATTAATTTGTGTCTCATAAAGAAAATACTCCATAATCTATCCTATCTTAGTAAATTCAATACTTTACACTTAATTTGCTTTCTATTATATCTAAGGAAAACTGCAACATAACTAGTCTACAAAACCATCAAATGCCCCAGAAGGATATAATATCATTTAAATAAACAGAAAATGCATTGCAATTTCCAAAAACTCTAGAAATGACAAGAGACATCTGTCTACCTGGACAGTCACACAAAGTACCTCTGCAATTTGGGGGCATCCATCTTTAGCTTATAGGCCTATAGTATTTGGCAGACTTTTCAATGGAGCAGGGAATTTGAAAGATTGTCCCACCTACATTGGCAAAGTTTATCAGTCTATGTCCTGCAGAATGTCTGCCAGTTTCTTCTGTGAAATAGGAACCATGAAGGACCAGCCTGCCTTATTTTGGCAAAGTTCAGTGGTCACTTTCTTGTAGGTCCTGCAAGTCCAGTTTATACAACATATTGTCAATCAGTTCAGGCAAAGGCAGTTTCTTGCCCAAAAGGCTAGCCTTGCCACACTAAAAGCAGATTCCAAGAGGAGTTTCTTTGATGCCCATCTTCTCTGAAGTAAATTGTTGCTGCCAGGAGATGTGTCTTATTGTCATGAAAAGCCCTAATTTCACAAAACATTTTAAATGCCATATTCTGTATGTCTTTTGAAAGTCTTAATGACCATCATCTATCTATAATATATCTATATATGATCTGGAAAGCATATCTAATTTATCTACAATTTGATTGTTATAAATTACTAACTACTAACCTATGTTTCCTGAATATCCTATTTAGTTTACAATATTAGCATTCAAAAACCAGAACTTCAACCTACATTTCCAAATGAACTCCATAGGCACAATACCTCAACCAAAAATAAAAACATACATATAATTTTTTGTAACAGAAATAAACTTAAATTTTTATCAATATACAAAAATCCTTTAAACAAGAGTAGAAAAGTATATATGTATATATCTCATAAATATTTCATATATATATATATATATATATATATATATATATATATATATATAAATGAAATTAACTTTAAGGTCCCTGTGAAAGTTTTGAGATAATGGCCAAATTCTGGAAAGACCCGCAATAACCTTTGCTGACAGATATCACCTGTCAGGTTTCAGGAGGTCTACATGATCACAACTGATCCATATTATTCCTGAAGGAACCCATATCCTCTCATCTCCTGTGGGAACAAAACTCCAAAGCCTTTTTGATTTCCATTTGAAAAATACGCTTTTGTAAACTTTTTAAAATTAAGGCATTCCTAAAGTATATAGGTTGCTTTATTTAAACAGCCAATCTTTCAATCCCATGTTTCTTTCTTTTTTTTTTTTTTTTTTGGTTTTTCGAGACAGGTTTTCTCTGTGTAGCTTTGCGCCTTTCCTGGAGCTCACTTGGTAGCCCAGGCTGGCCTCGAACTCACAGAGATCCGCCTGGCTCTGCCTCCCGAGTGCTGGGATTAAAGGCGTGCGCCACCACCGCCCAGCCCAATCCCATGTTTCTTAGTAGTTGTTTGCTTACTAACAATCAAAAATTCAAAATCAACACAATAACATAGATGACCCAGTCTCCCTGTGTATTTCCCATCTCTATGTGCCTTATTTCTTTTATATTATTTTAATCTCTTTATAGACCCTACTTTAATATTTTTAAACTATTTGTTTCTTTCTCTGATTATCCATACCCCTTTCCTTTCTTTCTTAAGCCTATACACATCGAAAAACACACTGGTACCTGTTTGAGGAGTTTTTTTTGTTTTTGTTTTTGTTTTTTTGTTTTTTTTTTTTCCTGTCTGGACCTCTTTTATTGTCTATCTTTTAGACTGTGAGCAAAACTTTAAACTGTTAAGCAGTGTGGACTTCTGCCAGAGACTTTGGAGGCTGGCTCTACCAACTTCTCCAGTTGTGAAACTAAAGCCTAAAGCTTACAGCCCAGTCAGAGTTTTGTTTGACAGGAATTGCATTCAACCTTCCTACAGGTCTAGAATGACAATGCTTGCACTGTGGCAGGTGTTGTTAGATAGTTTTTTTTTTTTTTTATTCCTACTTAACATACTAGTTGCTCAAAGGCTCACTGTCTTGGGAAATTCTTAAAGGGGCAATATCTTCCTTTTTTGTTTGTTTGTTTTTCCCAGGCTTTCACAGGCCTTGTGGAAATATGCCCATATTGGGTACCAAAATGTTTTTTTGTTGTTTTACTTTTTATTAGATCATCAGATGTTTTAGACAGGCACAGTAACACAGCCTCACCAAGTTAAACAAGTGCAACATAAACAAAAGTAACACACCTTAAAATAAGATTCCCTAACAGACCAGGTTAGTGTAAAATTTACAATTATGTCACAGACTGTGGAATGCATGCATAACCTACCACATGAAACTCTGCAGTTTTGCTCTACTAATAACTTTAATAGTAATAATTTATTGATGAATGACACTGTGTTTTGCAATTAATTATCCAGCTACTACTTTCAAAAGTACTTTTAGTCATAAAATGAAGTCAGTTCATTCTTGGTCTTTGTTTCTTTTCAGGTTTTGTGTTTGATATGATTCTAGGGCACATATTGTGTGCCAGAACAGATGGATAAGTTTGCAGCATAAAGGCTATGCATCTAATTGTCCTAGTTAAAAAAAATATAGACCATTCCTATTTGGGGAAACTGTATTTTCTCTCTGGTCTGTATTTTTTGATGGGAAAATAAATACTAGTTAATGCTTCATTGCACTAGTGATGACAAAAGGATTAGTATAGACTAATTTCTTGAAACAGCTCATTCTATTTGCATTATTATTTCTAAACACAAAGATCTAATTGATGGTTTGCTTATATGTCCTTTTCTGATTTTTTCCTAATTAGAAATATTCATCTCCCGAGAATGAATATATATATTGTGAAAGAAAGTAAAATCATATTGGATGGTCAGCTAAACCTTTTAACTCCAAATTTGAAACTTGATAATGTGTACATATTAACAGTCCTCCTCCCTGCCCTTTCACAACTCTCTCAAACTGTCTACCTCAACTTTTCTAGGAAATTAACTTTTAGCTATTTGTTGTTGTGCTGGTTGGTTTTTGTTCTGTGTTGTGTGTGTGTGTGTTGATGGTGGCAGTGGTGGTGGTGGTAATGGTGGTGGTAGTGATGTGTTAGTGATGATGTGGTGGTGGTTTGATATGGTGGTGATAGTATGGTGGTGGTGGTGATGATGTGTTGGTGATTCCGTGGTGGTGGTAATGTATTGATGATGGTATGGTGGTGGTAGTGGTGATGGTGAACTGGTGGTGGTGATGTGGTAATAATTGTAGTAGTGGTGATGGTGATGTTGTGATGATGGTGTGGTTATGGTGGTGGTGGTGATGGTGTGGTTGTGGTGATTGTGGTGATGTGTTAGTAATGGTGTGGTGGTAGTGGTGATAATGGTGGTGGTGGTGATGTGGTGTGATATGGTGGTGATGGTGTTGTGGTGGTGATTGGTTTTGTTTTTGGTAAAACAGAAGAATGTAGTATGAGGGCATTCTGGATAGATAACATGTACCTGTCACACTATTTACAAAGCCAATAATTTCTCTTGTGCCCAAGCTTCAGAGACATTTTGCTTTGAAATCCTGTTTGGTTTCTGACTTTCCCAGTTCTAGAGTCAACTGTTTTGATGGGTCCCATAACTACCAATGTGACTTTCAGTTCCCCAGATTGTAAACAGCCCTCCTTCTCCCTTCTGTACTCTCCCCGTTACTACAGATCTGTGTCTGCTTGAATTATCATTGACCTTTTATCATAAGGCTCTAGGAGTTCTGGAGTATGTACAAGTCGTCAACCACTGTGACTGAAAATCC